ATAAGTATACTTATCCTATAGGAGTTTAGCCTGAAGCCACCCCTCCCATGATGACTCTGCTTTTAACACACATACACACATACACATGTATATACGGTTTACCGGACTATTTGTGGAGACAAATTTTATAAAAACTTAGCCTCATCATCAAGTCTGAATAAAATCCAGTTTTTTTATAAATTAATGCAATCTAGCCATTGGACTTTACAATTTGTTTAAAGCGGATTATTTTTTGAAATAACTGCATATAGTATATATCCTATGTACGTTTGTACATCTGTTCATATGTATGTACATAAATACGTATCTGCACACAACGCTGCAGAGAATTGTAATTGACACTGCAATTCTCATTACCACAGCAATTGGAGCGTCTACAAAAACAATTGTGCAAGACTAATTAAAAGAAAATCGACGCACGCAGAGAGACAGTATGGAATGGAAAAGCATACATACCTAATGGAAAATAAGAAACCAGTGCAAATGCAATGTAAAGACAAACAAGTGCAACACACAAACGCCACAGTAAATACATACATAGTAAAGCAAGAAAGCGCAAACTGTAAAAATTTAATACAAACTATTTAAAAAAAAAATAAAAACTGCACTGCAGGTAAACAGAATGTAGTTGGACAACTAATTGTGACATTTCAATGTATCACGCTTAGACCAGCGGCAGATCAAGTTGTCACATCTGCTTGGTTAGAAATGCATGTACATACATATGTACAATTGCACACAGTCTTCAGGAATGTATTAATTAAAAAAAAAAAACTTTTAATTTAAATGCATGTAATTCAATAAAAATGTTCTTCTTTCATTAGAAGCCAAAGCAATATTTTGTTGCAATAAAAAAAAAAACGCAATACGATTAACTTGAACTCATAAATAGTTTTTTGTATTTGCTAACAAACGAGAAATTTTTAGTTGATATACTTTTTAAGGACGTGTGCTATGCGTACATACATACAGTACATGAGCGATATGCTCATTTACTAAAAGACTTATAACTCAAAACAAGAAATGTTTGAGCAAATGATGCAGAATAACACGTTATATCATGTTTCATATCATTGTGTACAAATTTTGTGCTAAAATCTTTTGTAGTTGCCGGGTAAGAAGACAATGGCCCGTTTGAATAAAAACTAACTTTGCTTAAATTTCGGACCTTTTACTCGATTTAGTCAAATATATGTATTTACATATTTCTACATTTTTCGAGCAAATTTAAAACTTTAAACTCGTCTCATAAAAATCTCGTTCTTCTTTCAGCTTTTTAGTAAATGAGCGGTATGTGCATAGGTTCATAAATGAAATGTTTTATATCGATCGAAATATTTTTTTTTTGTCTCTGCGCTGACAAACGATTGCAAATTAAACAGCTTTTAATTAAAAAGATTTTTCGTTGCTTTTTAATTGTTTAGCTATGTAGATATGTATCATGTACATTAGACCTATTCCACTTTGCAAGCAAACAAAAAAAGTTCACTGTACATCCCTGAGTCTAAAGTATTTTTGTAAGGCTATTTGGAACCCTAGTGGTCGTAATTTTACATTTTTCGGTGACGTCTACATTCTTTGGTTTTTTTTAATATGTAGTTTTAAATACTGGAATAAACAAAATACTTTCTTAGCAAAAGTTTAGTGATTTTTGGGGAGCTTTACTTTACCGGCATTAGGGTTGTATGTTAGGATGATAAGAACTGATAGCTAGCTGGTGGGTACTAGCTTCGAATGTAAATGTCGAAGATACATCGAGAAATGTAAGCAGGCGATCCCTGCGCTCGGCAAAAAACAAAAAAAAATCGAAATTACCTTCGAATCGAAATATATTTCTTTTGCAAAAAAGTTTCATAATTTTTTGCGAGCTTTAATTTACTGACATTAGGGTGATACGTTAGGGTGATAAAAACTTAGATCTGGGGGGTACTAAAACGGGGTATTGAGGTCAATGAACTTTAGAATATAGACAAGAACATCGATATAAAATATGTACTTTAAAATTCGACCGTAAATGCCGAAGTCAGAACAAAAATTGCTTTCGAATCAAGATACTTCCCTAGCAAAAGTTTCACAATTTTTTGCGAGCTTTAATTTACCGGCGTTAGGGTGATACGATATAGTGGAAGGAACTAAGATCTGGTGGACAAGTACTAGAAGAGGGTGCTTGAAGTCAATGAGCTTTGACACAAAAAATTTTAGCCCGAGACAAGAACATCGATACATTATAGTTTAAGATCCGAATGTAACATTTTTTTTGTAATTACATACCTTGCAAAAGTACTTAGACCCAGGGTTGTACGGCGAACTTTCTTCCAGGTACGGTCTAATGTACATACATATATACTTCATTGTGCTTTTTACAAAGTGTTGAAGTCTTTTGTATGAATCATATAGTAAATTGAAATGATATGTATAAACCTTTATGTACCTACATACATACATAAATAAATACAAAGTTCCAGACAATTTAGATGGCAACGCCAACAAGCAACTGGCCAAACAGGCAGCCGCAAGTTGGAATAACTAACTAATCCACCACCAATGCCAAGGTGAAGAAGCCGGTTCAAAAATTGCAAACATACATATGTATGTACATATGTATGTATGTATGGATATAGACAAATATACAAACATTCTTTGTGGAGCTTTTGGTAAAATTGAGGCAAAAACAAAAACTATCGCACAAAATCAACAAGCCGACAACGGAATGAAAGAAAAGCAGAAGAGGATAATGCAAGTTATGTACATCTGTAGGTATATATATATGTATGTATGTATGTACATATATAATTGCATACATGTATGAATACAAATGCAGGTACATATTTAAGGTGGTTACGAAGGGTTGCGGGGCCGGCCGTTCACAACAAAAATATATATACATCAATATTTGCCTTGAAAATCTTCTGGTGGGGGGCGGGGTATCGAAATTGGACCACAGCCACAGACGTTTGAACTTAAACCCCCCAAGCTTTGAAATGTCTGGATTGGCTAGATAGTATTGCAAACTACTTTAAAATAAATTTATTTTTTTGATTTATTTTATGATATCCATTTAAAAAACTTACAATTTTCAACCGAAACTGTTTGTGATGGATGTACTTCGTTGGTTTTGTCTGCTGCAGAGGCTTTTTGGAACACTTTTTTAGTTCGATGTTTCAATCTTTTTTGTTATGTATGTAATATGTACGTCTGTATATATGTATGTATGTATGTATATTGCACGCTCACAAGTTTTGGATCTTTTTATATTTTAAGTTATAGCTTTTACCGCACTTTTTTCAATAGCTATCGTTTTTTTTTTGACGCTTATGCTTCAAAAACTAATGTACACTGAGTGAAATAACTCAAACCATGAAAAATTTAAATTATTCCTTTCTTCTGTTCCACCGTTTTCACGCGTTTTGCTCTCTTCCCTAGTTGGTTTGAACGCAGTTGCGCAGAAATGTACTACGCTGTGCTAAAGAATTTCAGGACAAAAGCGTTAAAAATTTGTTGCCTTTTTTTTACACCACGCACCGAATAATATGAAAAATTAATGTTAAAATGAGCCAAATCCCGTAATCAATACAATTTTTATGTTTTGAAGTTCAAAAAAAATAAAAAATTTTGTATGTAGTTAATTTTTTGCTTTTCAAAATCACAAATCAAGTTCCTGCAAGGTACATATCCTTCAAGAAAAAAAAACAACTATTACTGAGCGCTATAGAAGTAAAAAGGGCGGTTTCGTTATTCCTGGCAGCGGCGAATATTACAGCATCAGCGCATTCATCTGTGCGTAGACCAAAAAAAAAAAAAGAAGAGTTCTACCCCCACACTCCCTATTTAACGCACTTTCTTATTTACAAGCCACACAAAGGATACACGGAGCGCACTTGACAATTTCCTGTGGTTTTAAATACACCAACAATTATTTGAAATAAAACGATAACTCCTCATACCTATGAGTTGATTATTTGCTAATTTTTTTTATATTGAAAACTGAATTTGGCTCAATTTATTTACAAGCAAAAAACTAGGTAAAATTAAGTTAACATTACATTGATTTATCTCTTTAACTCAGGTTTGCTGGCAGCCGCCTTATTTATAAAACCGCACAAGTATTTTCAACACAACCGTTCACAACGCGTTGCTAGCTCGAATAAATTGTTCGTTCGTCGCCGGCTCAAAGGAAAGCCATTGGAGTGCAGCAGTGCTGCCATGCACGAAACTTTCTAGTGTTTGTCTACACTGGTCACCAACATGTATGATGTTCGCTGCTGGCAAAGGTTGCCAATCAGCGTTGCCGTTTTGATCCACGTGGAACAAAAGTGATACGTTTTTCGATTAATTTTTATAGGGACACTTCTTTTTAAATTTTGATACTTTTCCAATCGTGTAAAAAAATCTCACAGAACTCGAAAACCTTGAAAGAGATGTTTCCAATTTCTTCGCACATAGGGCTAAAAAGGTGGATGAATTTGCCGAGTTTCAAAATTACGTTGGTGTTAAAAATCATAAAGAGTGTCAAACGTTCGCTGGTTATCGTTGAAGCGATTGCCTATGTAAGACATACATATAACCATGATAAAAACATTACAAGGTAAATTCATTTTCCCAATTCGGTGGCCATGATTTTTTTTCTGACGTTTGCCAACATTATAAAATCATATAAAATTGAAAATAAAAAAAATAAATTGTTCACAATTGTTGTTGTTTGAGATTGAAATGAGAATGTGTGTTTAAGTTTGAGTTTTGAATTTTAAAATTATATTGTTGACAAACAGTATAACAACGGCGACGACTGCCGCTTAATGGTTTTACCTTGTTATGTTTTTATCATGCATATAACGGTGTCTTTTGTTTTTGTAAAGAAAGTACTTTAAAGTTTTATAACTGTTTATTTTTATTTTTTTTTTGTAGATAACCAAAATACTTGCTTCTGACAAAATTTTTAATAAATTTTTTTTTCTCTTAAAAATTTAATTTTTAAAACGTTAGGCGTATTTGAGCGTGTTAAGAATATCAAAAACGAGTAAAATAAAGAGTTTTGAGTTTAACTCATCAATTTGATGCTGCGATTTCTAAGAAAAGAAACCATATGATTTTGATTTTTGATTATGATTTTCAAACTGTGAAATTTATTCTCATAAATACGGTCACTCAAGTAGCCTCATAAAAAGTCCAAATCGACGAGTGGCCTCGGTGGACAAATGAAATCGCCTCAATGCGTGTCCACGTCACACACTGCGCGCTAATAAGCTAAAACCGTATATATAATTAAAGTGATTTACACAAAAATTTACTTTGCATTCTATCAACCAGTTGACTGGGCACTTCCACATAGCTGTGTAGACCATAAATTGGTAATGACTGTTTTTCGTTCCACTCATTATTTTCAAAATTATATTCTTCCACCGTATATACATCATGGCCGCCGAGCGCCCATATCCGTTTGCCGATAGTGATGGCGCAGATGCCGAAGCGGGCTACTCTTAACGGTGCGACCTGCGAGCAGGTGAGGATTTGAAAAATTAAAAACAAGAATAAGAATGTCATTTATGTACATATGTACCGTACCTCGAGCCATATATTCTGTTTTGGGTCGTAGCGCTCCACTGTATTTAACATGCCCTCATTGTAGCCACCAATAAGAAATATGAATTCATTTAATATGGTAATCTGCAATTTAGCATAAACACATAAGTCCATTTTTATAAACCTTTTTTTTTTTTTTTTAATTTGTTACTTACGCCAGGCCAACCGCGCGCCCCATTCATATTGCTGCATGTCGTCCAACTGCGGGTTTTTGGATCATAACATTCAACTGAATTCAAAGGCATACAGTCAATGCCCAATCCACCGAATATGTAGATTTTTTCTTCGTATACGATAACGCTGGCACCATATCTGTGAGCTGACATTGCCGGCAGTACTTGCCAATGATTAGTGCATATATCAAACCTAAAACAATAATAATGCTTACATTAATTGTGCATCATGTGTTCAAAAATTTCGTTTTTTGAGTTGTGACCAGGGTTGCCACTTTGGTAAATTGTTACCAAAATT